AGAAGATATTTTATTACAATGAATGAATGAACAACATTAGCAAATAGGGGGAGAGGAGTATGCTAAGTTAATGTTCACTGAGCTCGAAGCAAGAGAGAAAGAGGTTGTTAATGCTAAGAAGATGCTATTCTCATTAGGTAATGATTTAATCAACTAATTCAGAAAAAGTCCAAGGAGATCCAGGTAGGGAGAGGAATCAAAATAAGCTTGAGAGAATAGTAGCGACAAGTACAAAACATGGAGGAAGATGTGGGAGAGGGAAATACATTGGCTTTCACATCTGCATGTCGGATATCAACGTAGAAGATTAATTGGGTAGTCCACATTTCCCTTATTAGGATGAGTTTTTTATCAGTCTATTTCGGTTAGAGTTGTTTTCAGAATTTGAAAAGCCAACCCATCATGGGTTCAGGTAGTACTACTAGTAGTAACAAAGGCCAATTGATGTATTGGCAATTTTAAACTTGCTAATGTCTCTTTTACTGATTTAAAGTGGTTATGACCTCACTTGTTGATCTAGGTACCCAAATAAATGTGATAGCCTCTCCCTTGATACATGCTTGATTTCTCTAGAAGTACTCTGGTACTGGCATGTTCCTTGACTATCACTTCTCACCAACCCACTGTTGTCTTAGAATCACCTTAAACTATTATGTTTCTCACATTCAATCTCACCACTACACCAACTCCATACAGAATGGTAATCAATTAAGCTCTTATCAAGTCTCCAAACCCTATGGAACCTGAAAATAATGCTACCACAGTCCCATGTCTATCTCCCAAAACTTCTCCAATCCCCAAGACACCCAGGTTACAAATGCTACACATATCAAAATTTAACTTGAGATGATTTGGAGGTGGAAGACTCCATTCTTTTAATACTTGACTTCTCAACGATGAAGACTGTGCCACAACCTGCCAACCCCTGATAACGTCTTCCTTCGAGTAAGGTGCAAAGATATCCTAAGTTCTAATCCAATTAACCACTTCAGAAGTAATGTTCTCTATCAACTCTTCATTGGACTTCCTTTTCTCCTGAAATATTCTTGTATTCCTTTCTTTCCATATTGACTAAAGGATAGCAGCCCTAGTGCATCTCTGCATTATCTCCCTCTTCCCTTTGGGAGTTAAAAAATGAGGGTCAAAAATTTGCTTTTCAAATTACATCTTCCATAAGAGTCCGTGTGTTTGTTATGTGAATATTCTTCACTTTTTTTTTGTTCTAAGTTAGATCCTTGGGCTCTCAAGTGTCTATTTCTGGGTTATTCTGCTACCAGAAGAAAAGCAAATATTATCACCTTGCCTCCAAGAAAAAAAAAAAGAAAAAAAGAATTCCATTGATGTCTCCTTTTTTGTTCAGGGGGAGAATTCTATTGGTGGAATCAATAAATTCAGAAGCCTAAACAAAACAAAAAAAATTATACAGCCAAGTATCCAGGTGGAATCAATTACCTCCACAACCACCCAGCAACTAATTACCAAAAAAACGGTTGAGAACAACTACTGAAAAGAGAAGGATGAGGAATAACAGTGAGATGAGAACCAACAAAAGACAGTAGCAGCAACAACTCTCAACAGCTCATCCACTTGAGACTTGAGAGGCCTTATTGTCAAACAGTCCGTGATTTCTCTCTTTCCATATTCTCCAAAAAAACAGCTGTGGGGATGAGCCTTCACACCTTCTTGCCCTTATTGCTAAGCCCACTTACCATCCAGGGTCGAGGAGCTCAGACACAATTATGGACACACACAGCTGGCAGTAGAAATGCTTAAAAAGAAACACCAGATTCTCCAAGAATGACAATGGATACAGAAATAGCCAACCATCTTTGCCTGCTCTCGACATTGCCCACATTTGTTTTCTCCAGGGAAATCCCTCTTCTGCAAAGGTTAACCTTTGTAATACATTTGCCCAGGGCCACAGCCAACTAAAGAAAGCAGCTTTTGATGGCACGCCAAGAACCGATACCAACTCAGATGGGAAATGAGGAAAGGGGCCAGCTGACAAGGCCCTCACAGACGAATTCACAGAAAACACCCCTCATTTCTCCCATTTTCAGCTGCAGCAGTCAGCTTTACTAATGTCTGGGAGGTTTGCCACTTTGCCTGGAAGTTTCCCCAGCAAGTTAACCATATCATTTAATTTCCAATCTTACAGATTTCTTCTGAATTTAGGGACCCACACAACTGTACCATTCACCAGCTGTAGCAGTCAGAAATTTTACAATGTTTATCTACAGCTACAGAATAGAGGGAAGGGAAGAGGTCCTTGAAGGGGTCTATGGTCACGCCAAGCATCCAACCAGAACAGAACTTCTGACCCAGAAACCCACCTTGCACTTGACACCAGCAGTAAAGGGCTCCCAACTCTTATCAATACATTGTTTATAAATTATAAAGCACTTTCCAGAAGGACAGCAACTTGATTGATGCTAATAGGTATTAGTAGTTGGACGGGAAACTATTCTATTTGTCACTCTAACAGATTGATATTGTATATGTTGTGAATGTCAATCAATTTATGCATTCACCCAGGGCGAAGCATTTAGAGGTAGCTCACAGAATTCTCAAGTACTTGGTCTTCACCTAGGTAGGGTATTCTATTTACTAGTGATGGCCACTTTCACATTGAGACATACAGATTCTGATTGGACTAATTCTATGTTGATTTAGATACACAGTTTTTTTATCAATAACTGAAACAGGTTTCATTAAATTAAAGAGAAATAGGTACAAAGAAGAAGGGAGAGATAAACTCTCTTAGCTCTCCCATAAGAGATACATGTTTACAACAAAGCCCAAAAAAGTCGACTCTTCTCATAATGTATCCCCACCACCCTACATCCTCTTCCTTTTGCAGCCAACTTATAACTAGCTTTGAATCTCCTTCAATTGCCAGCTTACGAATTTGCAATTCCTTAGCTTTTTGAATTCCTTCCATGACAGCCAATATTTCATCCCTCAAAGAATCACCCACCCCAATTGGACCCAATATAAAGCAATAATTCTTCCTTCATTATTTCTAAAGATTCCTCCAATGCTTTAAGGACCCAGGTTTCCTTCAATGATACCATCAAAATTCAGCTTAATAAAATCTTCAAAAGGTGGGGACCAAATAGGCCTAAGGACAACCTTGAAAGGAGCAGAATCAGCTACTCCCCTCCACTTCTCATCAAGTCACCAGCTGGAATGTCCTCAAACAGCTTCAAGGACTTCACCCAATGAACCACTCTAATAGTAATGTCTTCAATTAGTGCACCCCAACTCTCTCTGAGAAGGTTCTTTGATTTCTTTCTTCCAAAAGTGTCCAACAAATAGCTGCCCTTGTACACCTTCATAGAGTTCTACCCCTCTTCCTTGGCTAACTAACAAACGTAGAGGCAAACAGGCTTTGTACGTTAGGTGAGGAGATCCACATGCACCCAAACAAAGAAAGAAATAATTCCCAAATTGAAGAAACAAAGGGGCAGGATATTAATAAGCAAAAGGGCAGTCGATTTAGATACACTTCAGGCCATTACACATTCATGGGAGGCAATTTCGTTGCTTGGCACCAGTGTTTTAAAAGCGCAAGGCGCAAAAAAGGCACAGGGGTCAATTTGCGCCTGAGGAGCAAGGTGCAAGGCGAGGCGCGCACCTTTTTAAGCAAGGCACAAAAATTTAAAAAAAAAATGCTAAAAATAAAAAAGAAATGCCAAAAAAATTATTAAACATAATATTAATAAAAATATAAACTTAAATTTTAAAATAAATGTTTTAAAAAACCTATTATCTAAAATTAAAATACATAAACATAACATGTAAAGCATATTCCAATGAGAATTTAAAAATAAAATCAAACATATAAAACATTTTCAAGCATATAAAACCCACAATCTCTTTTCTTTTTCTCAATTACATTACTTCAAGTAGCTAATGTGACATATTACTTTCCTGATTCTACTAGCCGCTTTTCTGCCACATCCCCCGAGGCAAGCCCAAACAAGTCCACGTTAGCGTCTTAAATTCTTAGTTTTCACACAAAAAAAAATGATTGTATAGTTTTAATTGCTTTCTAGGAAGATATTTTATTAGGATGAATGAATGAATAGCATTACCAAATAGGGGGTTCTCAAAGCTCCGATCATTATTTTTTCTGTGAAAACTAAGAATTTAAAACCCTAACGTGGACTTGTTTAGGCTTGCCTCGAGGGGCGTAGCATGGGGTCCAGGGGCGGAACCCCCATCCCAACCACTAGACTCAAAAAAGCAAAAAAGCGTCAAATTTTCAAAAGGCACGTGTCTGGGCTGAGGCACACCAGGCGTACGCCTTTTGAAAGAGTTGTGCCTAGGACCTGGGCGAGTCACCTACCCTAAAATGCGCCTCACCTATGTGCATAGGTGCGCCTTCTAAATCACTGCTTGGCACATTACAAAACATCCAATGCTTGCTAAATTAAGGCTGATGCAAAGTTTAGATCAAATGGCACATGGCGTTTGTAATAGTGGTTCAAAGCATTGCTTGCAAAATGAGGGTTTTCTACATCTAGACCTATGAGTTTATATTGTGATAATAAGGTTGCTATTAGTATTGCTTATAATCCACTTGAGCAAGATTGCACTAGGCACATAGAGGTTGACTATCATTTCATAAGAAAGAAGCTTCTTACAAGACAGGTTTGCACACCATACATCTCTACCCAGTTGCAGTTGGCATACATTCTCACTAAAGGAGTAAAATTTATTTACATGAGATTGGTAGCAAGTTGGGCATTAATAGATATCATTGCATCAACTTGAAGGAGTGTTGAATTACAAGGGTAGAATGGGAATTTCATATAAGTTGTCATTGTTCCTTCTGCAAAGGGGTATACTTGACTTTTCCTATATCTTTGTCATTCGGCCATACCAAATAAAATAATGTTAGGTGGGGGTTGAGTAAGTTAAATTGATAGAACTGCATTGTATTACTTGTAGCCCAAAATGACAGAAGTTGTATATGAAATAGAAAAAACTTTTACCTATATGACAATTATTGTACATGAGTAGGGCATTTACAAATGTTGGGTTGTCAGAACCAATCCAAAATATCATGTAATCATCCATCTTGTGACCTTCTGGAAGCTTCCAAGTCAAGCCTCCAAGGGTATATTTGTTACCACATCCTGTGGAGTTCATTTGCCCAGAGTTAGCACAATCTCCATTAGCAGTATAGCTATCAAAAGACCCAAGTTGTCTTCCGGGGGTTTTGAAACGTTCTTCAGGATCCATAATTGAGCAGATAACCTCTGCATAACAGAGTGCTTTGTTCTCTTTGGAACCACACAATCTAGACGATTCAACTTCCATTATTTCTTTGATATGATGTATTGCATGTGCATATTCCAATCCAAACAAAACCTGTATTTCAGAAAGAAATGATTGAACAAATAAAGGTTAGTGAGTAGATCATTGGAGAAATATGTTAGCCTTCCAATGAGAACGTGCATGTGTAAAAGAATTAACGTTCTACATGAAACTGACCAAAATAGATTCTATTGGTGTTAATACCCACTTTAGATTAATCTGAAATGGTATTTAATGAAGCATTTACTTTTAGGATAAAACATTTATAAGAAAAGCCATGCTTTCCGGAACAGAATGCTGAAAAAGCAAGAAACAACACATCCATGGATAATGCAATGTCTATTTAGAATCTACATAGAACCAGTGTTTTAAAAGTGAAAGCACAAAAAAAGTGAAGGGCCATTTTGTGCCCAAGGCAAACACCTTCTTGAATCAAAGAGCAAAAATGAAAAAAAATATATCAAAAAAGCCAAAAATTCAAATAAAATGCAAATTATTAAAATATTAAACACATTATAAATTAAAAATGTAAACTTAAATTTTAAAATAAATGCTTAAAAAAAACTATTATCCCAAATTAAAATACATAAACATAACATGTAAAACATATTTAAAATAAAACTAAGCATAACGTATAAAACATATCCAAACATGTAAAGTTGTAAACTCTTAATCTCTTTATTTTTTCCCAATTGCATTACTTCAAATAGATAATGTGATGTTAAGCATTATGCGTTCTTGATTTTACAAGCCTCGGCAGCCGCCCTTGTACCAAACCCCTCGAGGCAAGCGCAAACAAGTCTATATTAGGGTCTTAAATTCGTAATCCCTATAAAAAAAAGAAAGGTTTTATAACTTTAAGTGTCTTTTAAAACTATCTTTTATTAGGATGAATGAACGAGCAACATTAGCAAATATGGGGTTTTCAGAGCTTCGGTGAGTGAGCAAAGTGAGTGAATATGAACTTGTTTGGGCTTGGTCGGAGGCCCGAGGGCTCCGCCCCTAACACCCAGCCCAGCTGCTAAAGTGCTAAACACAAAAAAAATAAAGCACAGATTTTCAAAGGAACACACCTGGGCTGAAGCACAAGGTGCACCAAGTGTGCGCCTTTTGAAAATACTCTGCCTGGGACCTAGGCAAGGCGCATACCCTAAAATGTGCCTCTCCTGTGCACCTAGGTGCACCTTTTAAATCACTGCATAGAACAAAAGCAGTAAAGCACCATTTCCAGCTAATATGAAGGAAACTTATGACCAATCAACCAGCACCATGAAAATGGTAACAAATCAGGTGGGGTTTTTTTTTTTTTTTTGGGGGGGGGGGGTGATTGGTCAAAGTCTTTCCAGCATTATAGATTTTTCCTTTTTTTGGATGATCACATTTGACATGTCTTCTAGAGCCCATTCAAGCTACTAATGGCTGTTAATCTATTTGAGGATAATCATAAATGTTGGGGTAGTTAAAACTTTCATTGCAATCCCAAATAAAAGAAACAAGGGGGCAGGAGATTAGTGAGAGGTAGACTACTAGCCTTGCAAAGATAACACGTGTTAAAGACCCTGAACAGAAAACCATCGAAATGCTGCAATCACCCTAGGATACATTGAAAGAGAAATAATCCAAATACTCAATAAGATAGGAAACATCTGCAAACTTCTCATTGAGGCTCCTCATGAAATGTAAGTTCCAAGATAGCCCATGGGAATTTTGAAAAAGACATTTAGAAACCAAAGGATCTTTTGACAAGGAGAGAGAGAAAAGGAAATGGAACTTGTCTTTTAGAAGCATATCAACTCACCACATCAGACCAAAACTTTGTTTTGTTCCTAGAATAAACCACGGTCCTTGTTCATTGCAAAAAAAATAGATGGTAAAGAGGAAAAACCTATCCAAGGAACTACAAGGGTTGATATGGCAGCCACCCAGCATCCCATTCCTCAACCACCATACCATGAATACTTTTGATGACTCCATGCCACAGTCTATGGAGCTCAAGCAGGAACCTCCGCAGCCATTTTCCCAAGAAAGCATTGTTCTTAATTGTCCAACTTCCTAATTTCCAAGCCCCCATCTTTATTTCTCTTGCATACTATCTCCCAATTGATTAGGTGATCCTTTTCTTTTTGATAAATGATTGATAATTTATTCATAATAATCAGAATGAGATTACAATACAGCCTGCCCAAAGGAGAGGCGCGAGCTGGTACCTCTACTCAACAACAACAAAGTACTACATCAGACTAGGAGAAGAAAGTTTACAGAGCTGCCCAGAATAAATGTTCCCTTGATACCCCTTGCTTAGCTAACCCATCCACTATGGTATTAGCTATTCTACCCACCCACTGATAACTAACAGTCATGTTCCTTGAAAACCAATTAGCTTTCCTCATAATATCCCTGTAGCACTAATAACTAAAACTGGATTTTTAACCAACCCACAACAACTTTGGAGTCTCCTTCAATAGCAAATTCTGAACTCCTAACTGGTCTGCATTCTGAATACCTTGTATTGCTGCTAGAAGCTCAGCTCTAATAGAGTCTCCTATACCCACGGAGCCTGAGAATAAAGCTAATATATTACTATCTTTATCTCTCAGCACCCCACCTATCCCTGATGGACATGGATTTCCTTGGCTGCTACCATCAAAATTCAGCTTTGTCCAGCCTTCTGGAGGAGGCACCCACACAGCTGGTACCCTGTTCTTCCTGTTACTGCTACTAGCCACAGCTATCCGGTTCCTCCAAATGTCATTCTGTTACTGCTACTAGCCACAGCTATCCAGTTCCTCCAAATGTCATCAAAGGAATATATTTTAAAGGAATCCAATGATCTCAACCAATGGATTGCCCTGGTCAAAATGCAATCCTTTACGTTCTGAATATTTCTCTCCTCTTGGAAAATCCTCACATTTCTTTCTTCCCAAATTGTCCACAAAGCAGCAGTTCTAATGCACCTCCACATTGTTTTACCAATTTTTTTTTGATGAATAATAATAAGTTTATTGATTCAGAAGCAACTTTAGAGTGAGTTCATACATCATCCCAACAAGAGGCACGAGCTGCAGCCCCTCCTTGAGTCTTACAAGTAAACTAGGAAAGGAAAACAATAATCACAACTAAGCCCAAAATAATTCTTCCCTATTTACCCCTTGCTTAGCTAACACAYCTGACAAAGTATTTGCTGATCTCCCCACCCACTGTACAGTGACCAACATATTCCTTGTCAACCAACTAAATTTCTTCATTTCATTCTTGTATCGCCACATAGCCTCTTCAGAATTTTTTAACCAACCCACCACCACTTTGGAATCCCCCTCGATTATTAGGTGTTGTACCCCCAGCTGGTTTGCAAATTGCACCCCTTGTACAACAGCTAAGAGTTCTGCCCTGATGGAGTTCCCAATTCCCAAGGGACCTGAGTAGAGCAACAAAATCTCTCCTTTCTCATTTCTCAAAGCACCCCCCACTCCGGATAATCTTGGATTACCCATGCTGTTTCCATCAAAGTTCAACTTTATTGAGCCTTCGGGTGGAGGAGACCAGTTTGTAATTGATTTGTCCTTTAAAGATGAGCACCTTGCTACTACTGACCAATTTCTCCAAAGGTCATTAAAGGAGAATTGATGGAAGATTTCCAAAGTCTTCAGCCAATGTATTGCTCTGTTTAACACACAGTCTTTCAAATCTTAGCTGTTCCTTTCCTTGTTTTGAAAAATTCTGAGATTCCTTTCTTCCCAAAGAGTCCAAGTCAAAGCAGCACGAGCACATCTCCACATAATTCTCC